GCTCCAAGTACTGTGGGATTCCATAAAGATTATAAAGGTGGTATCTGCAGTTATGACCAAAGAATTATGGTGAAATAGGTCAAAAAAACTTTTTTGCCAGATTTTGGCTTTTTCTTACATAAACATATTTTGACCAAATTTAAAAAACATTTTCCCAATTTGTTTTTTGTTTTTTTTATGTAAGTTGTTTCTTGACCGTTCACAAATGGAGCATTTGAAAATTGCCAGTCAAAAACATGTTTTTTTAAAAAAAGATTATTATTTAAAGATTATTTTTACCATGTCTCGGTCAATGGTGACCTTTGACCTATGAGTGCTGTTACAGATGTATGGTGTTAATGTCCAGTTTTTTATTTTGTTTTTTTTTCATGCACTTTTGAAGTGTCTGTTTCTTTTTCTTTTCGGCACTGGGCAGAATTACTAATGCGTGCGTGTGTGTGTGTGTGTGTGTGTGTGTCAGTCACATGGCTCTGTTGCTGCAGTTCTTAAAATATTCTTGTGGGGAAAAAAACTCCTGTGTCATCCTCTGTTTTTGGACGGTTGGCAGTAATATTCAGTCTGTTGTTTCTGTCCAGGAAGTGATAGAGGAAATGTTCGGAGCGCGGTGGCTCTGATCTGCACCCCGTCCCTGTGATAAAGCTGATCTCTGGTGACCTCTACAGGTCCAGTCCACTGCTGAGATCAGCGCAGCCACAGTGAGGGTGGAAAAGGCCAGAAGCAAAATAAAAATGTTGTAGAAAGACCGGTTTATAAAAAGCTGTGAAATTAAATTTCTTTTTTTTTTTTTATATACATTTTGTCATTGACTTGACATGAGGTGATTGAAAATATATAGTCCAGCCTTTTGGGGTAATTGACTTGACATGAGGTGATTGGAGTGCCCCCTGTTGAAAATATATAGTCCAGCCTTTTGGGCTATTAATAGCAGCGAGGTCTGTGGCACTAAGTGGATTAAACCATTAAGCACTTACAGAGAGTGATCTGATCTGACACTCTCATCCTCTGACTGAGGCTGATGTTTGACATTTGTTATTTTTTATTTCTAGGTCCCATCAGCAGCATCCTGGTCAACACCTACGGCTGTCGGCCCATCGTCATGATGGGCGGCTGCCTATGCGCCACTGGCATGATCTTAGCGTCGTTCTGCAATGACGTGGTGCAGCTCTACATCTGCATCGGCGTCATTGGAGGTAAGGCCGTTTACACGCCGGTGTTGTTGCTCTCTACTTTTAGCTCGTCTTATTTTCCTCTGTTGTGGTCGTTCCTCACAGGTCTGGGGCTGGCGTTCAACCTGCAGCCAGCTCTGACCATGATCGGCAGGTACTTCTACAAGAAGCGTCCCATAGCTAACGGACTGGCGATGGCGGGCAGCCCGGTGTTCCTCAGCACCTTGGCTCCTCTGAACCAGTTTCTCTTCAACAACTTTGGTTGGAGAGGCAGCTTCCTCATCCTGGGGGGGCTGCTGTTGAACTGCTGTGTGGCTGGCTCCCTCATGAGACCCCTGGGACCCCCGCCGGGCAAGGTCAATAAAGACAAAGTCCTGGCTGTCGCCACGCCGCCGGAAGGGAAACGTTCTGCCTGGCAGATTCTCAACAAGTACCTGGACCTGACCCTGTTCAAACACCGAGGCTTCCTCATCTACCTGTCGGGAAACGTCATCATGTTCCTGGGCTTCTTCGCGCCCATCGTCTTCCTCGCTGCCTACGCCAAGGACATGGGAGTGGACGAGTACTCGGCCGCCTTCCTGCTCTCAATCCTGGCTTTCGTTGACATGTTTGCACGACCGTCCATGGGACTGTTGGCCAACTCGCGATGGGTTCGACCTCGGATCCAATACTTTTTCAGCTTCGCTGTACTGTACAACGGCGTGTGCCACATCCTCTGCCCCCTGGTGGAGAGCTACAGCGGCTTGGTTGTGTATTCCATTTTCTTTGGCTTTGCCTTCGGCATGGTGAGCTCAGTGCTGTTTGAAACGCTGATGGACCTTGTTGGACCTCAGAGGTTCTCCAGCGCCGTAGGCCTCACCACGATCGTGGAGTGCTGCCCGGTGCTTCTCGGTCCACCGCTAGCAGGTATGAGCTCTCACCGATCTAAACCTTTGACTAACTCAGAATATAAGAAGACAAAACTCTGTTTTAAGTCAGAGTATTTTTTTTCCACAGGTCTAAAACTACTTGTCTAAAAAAAATATGACTGACTGAATGTGAAAGACTTCAGTATCCATTTAAAAAACTCGAGATATTTTAGAAAAAAATTGTTTAATACAGATACTCTAAAAAGCATTTTATTATTGAATTTTTTTTTTTTTTTTTCCCGAGATATTTTAGAAAAAAAATGTTTAATACAGATACTCTATAAAGCATTTTATTATTGAAAAATTTTTTTTTTTCACAGGCCAGATATTCTAGGATTTTGGGCCACTAATGGCCCCCGGGCCAGGAGTTTGCCACCCCACTTTAATAGTATTAATTTTTTACGGTGGTATCATAATCAGATTGATGCTTATTTTTTTGGAAATAAAATATTCTTTTTATTTAAGCACATTCCACTCATATTTACAGAACAATGACAGCTTTAGTTTAAAATATTCATCAATTAAAGAAAACATTTTGTTGTTTCACAGGGAAACTCGTCGACGTCACCAAAAACTACAAGTACATGTACTTCTGCTGCGGGGCCGTGGTGATCTTGGCCAGTATTTGGCTCTTCATCGGAAACTTTATAAACTACAGACTCTTGGCGCGTGAGCGCAAACTCGCAGAGCAGTACAAACGGACTGAGACGGAAGATCCAGACCAGGTGAGGTTCCGGAAGGAGGAGGACGGCGAGGCTCAGGCGTCTGACGGCGCGGCTAACGAGGGTCAGAAAGACGAGGAGGCCATGCAGCGGGAAACCAACATCTGAGAGCCGCGGCGCTCGCTCTCCTTCAGTGACTGTGCAATGCTTCCAAATGGAGATCAAACCTGTGTCCGGCGCCACCTCCTGGTGCCCCAGCAGGCTGTGTTTAGGGTCCTCTGCATTTCTAACAAACCAACTTCTGAAGCAGATGTTGTTTTGTTGACAGCTTTAATAGGTATGTGTTTATCAAAGATATTTGTTACAATAACAGGAAGTGTAAGATAGTCTGTGAACGGGAAGAGTCCGAAAAAGTGAAACGGTGAATTATTGTGTTTATTTTTTTTTTCTTTTGCTGTTAGTTTCACCACATATCGGATATTCACAATTTAGTATTTACACCAGTGGGATAAATCTCTTCACATCCACACAGACATAGTGACATAATATTAATGTGAAAACCACAGTACTTCGTAGCAAACAAAACCTTTTTCATGTTCAAATCACCATTCCATGCCATTTTGGTTTTGCTCATATTTTTCCGATGTGTCATGAACGCAGCGTCACCGTTCCTCAAAAACCTGGAACTGCAATTCACCCAGACTGACGTCTGTGTGTGTTGTCAGTCGTCCAGGTCATTGACATGCGATCAAAGGTGGAATTCGGTAAATAAGAACGCTCTGTGAGGTGAAGGTCAAGATCAGAAGGCCACGATATAAAGTCAACACTTCCAATTCCTGCTTTCATTTATTTATTTTTTTGGAACTTTTTGAAACACTTTTCAAACTTCCAGTGGTGAAGTCCATCTAGTACTTTTCCAGATTTCTGTTTCCAAAACAGCACCATTTGGTGAGACCGCTTGAATCTGCAAATGAGTTTGACGACCGCCACGCACTGAACGCCGTCGACCTATTTTTCGTTAGACCGTCCAGATTGAAACGGGGGGGAAAAAAATCCTTAAAGCTCATTTCACGAAGCGACTGGGCGTCCTAAAACTTCCACTTCAGGGTCGAGAGCAGATGTGTTCGCAGCTGCTCGACCACACACTGCCCGCCCGAGCGCTGTAACACCGTAGTAAAACCAGCACTGATGTCCCGCTATAATATCCTGTGTCGTAAAAGGCTGGCAGTACTTTGTGAAATACTCCGTGTTGCTCCTGTGTACAGTATGTTGCACTAAAACAACAACTGGCCGCACTTCTCCCCAAACCTCTTTATTGCTGCTGCATTTCATTCAGTCAAAATGTGGTGGGGTGTAATTCTCCCGTTGGGCCAGTGGGAGGCGTTATGACCAAAATAACCTGCATATATAAAGAACTAATTTATACAAGTATAGCCCTTGAGCAATATATATATATATTTCAACGCAGAAACACAGGGAAATGTTGAGTATTTATTGTGGTGCGTTCAAGGTCCTTTCTGTAATACATTGCCTTAAATGTGGTGTAGTGTATTTGTTGTGTACTTGATAGTAGTATAGTATTATGTGAAGCAGATCTACCTTTGGAGTGAAATGCAACGCACATATATTACTGCAAACCAGTTACACTCGTCATCTGCTCCAGTTTTTATTTTTATTTTTTTCATCTTTTGTTGTTTTGATGTTAAATAGTTAAAGGTGGAGTTCAGGAATCTGTGATTGTCATCGCAGAGCATGTAGGACTCCCCTGCAGGGGGTGCTATAAGACACCGTCAACATCCTTCCTTATTTATTCATCACCCAGTTTTAATTTTCCTAACCGTCACCCCGCTGTGCTGTTGATCGGATTTTCGGCCGAAATCCCGAGGCTAGCAGCTGACCACCTGCTTCTGCGGTCCGAATGAAGCCAAACACATTCGAATACTACAAATGCAGTTTGTTTAAAGTAGTCATGCTAGAGAATACAGCATTTTTGCAGTTTATTTTTTTTCCTATTTTACATTTTAAAATAGATGTGCAGCTGTGTAGCATTTAACCATGACGTATTATGACCAAACGGCGCCCTCTGCAGGCCATAGTGAGATAACATCAACCAGCCTTGGTCACTGAAGTGTGAAGACAGCTGACAAAACGTATAAAATAAGTCAAATATTTCATGTAATTAATGCTAGTTAACACGATCGTGACCTCGGCTGGGTTTGGTTTGGTTCGTATATCGTTTCAGGATTCATCTGTCAGCTCCAGAATTCGTTTTCAGATTAGCTTCATCTTTATTCGCCCAAAGATGCACTTTATTCACTAGCATTTCACGCTCAGAAGAGTGTTTTCACGCGTAATCCTGTCGGTGTCTTTTCGTATAAATACATACGTCCTACTAACACCTTCTAAAATATACTAATCCAGTTTGCACTTTGTGGAAAGAGGGACAGATTTCACTCACTGTGCTCACCGAACATGATTATCAATGGTACGTTAGACTGCTGTACAATCACTTTCTACCAAATAACACTGCCCCCTGCTGGTTTCAAGACACCAAGACCAAGATGTAACGCCAAGTTTCCTTTTAAAAAAGGGAAATAAAGTAGAATTTTATTAGGGTTTTTTTTTTCTGTTTTCTGTTCAGTATCTAAAGGTGTTGATTCTTTCTGGTGGTGGGAACACACCTTTTTTTTCCCCTGGATATTTTTATTCCTGCCTGTGAGGCTGGAAAGACGAGGCTATAATGAGTTTGATGAAGAAAAGGGAAAACCTGTGATTCTCACCATAATTTTTTTCCAAATCCGTTCCATGTGCAAGAAAAAGACGCATATATAAGGAACTGGAGGGAAAAATAAAAACAAATCTTATTTGAAGTTATTTTTAATTGTATATTTAGAACAAAGGTGAACAGATGATGTAATTCAGACAGAAATAACTCAGAGTGAACTCCATGTGCACCTTTAGCCTTATTGACTATAGATATTTATAGACTTTTAACTTTCTCTTCTGTTTGGGTTTGTATATGTATTTAGAAATGACCTTTGACCTATTCAAAATGATTATACTTGTTTTTAAACACAGAGCTTTAAGTTTTTTAAAAAACAACTGTTCTGTTTTAAGTATTTATAGCTCTTTTATTTCTTTCGTTTTCATGATGTGTGGAACAAATGTACTCTGAAAATGTAAGTGGTTTAAAGTTTGTATTCTGGACTGGAGACTTGGACAGATGTCCCTCAGGATGTCACTGGAAGACGCCTGTTGACAAACAGTGTTTGACTGATAACAGCAGAACGAACCACGAGAGGAAAAGAAAAATTCTAATTCAAATCCTTGAGGTTTGGTCAAAATGTCGTATTTTTTCCACATCAGGTATTTTCTTAAGACAAATTTCATGTTTATTTCTAGTTTTAGTATTTTATTTTCTACAACCTGCCCCCCCGCTCCCAAATATTGTAAATATGCAAATGTGAACGTCCATCCCTGATGCAGATTTTTTTTTAATTCCTTAAGGAATTCTAACGAATGTTAATAAGAACAAAAATCAAGTCTGCAGAAGAAAAAAAAACTTCTTCTTTCTTATCAGCATAGCAGTGAGAAAATAAATGACTGTGTTGGTGTTGACTGTGTACAAGGTGATCTGCTACTGGGAGGCTGAAGGACTGTCGCGGATGTATCTAGCTGCTAAGCTAACTGTGCCTTATCATGTTACACTAATGACTTATTAGTTTCTGACTCCTGTCCTACTCCGTAACTAACTCTGTCTCATTTATTAGTTTTATTTAAATCATCGATTTATTCATTCATAATCGACTGTTGTTTGTCTGAGGAAATCAGTGAAGAGAATGGGACGCGACGTTAGCGGTTTGGACGAATCACCTCACCTCAGATGTAAGCAGCCGTTCTCCTGTCTGGAGCTCGGCATCGAACCCAGTCCTTCACGACCTTCTGGTAGCAGCCCCACTGTGTGCTTTCTCATCAGGCCTGTGTGGCGAGAAAAAACAAAACAAAAACCTACTGTATCTTTAGAAAGTGTCCGTCTTTTCGACTACCTCTGCAGCCACCGTGTCAGAGTGAGAACCACACAGGTGAAGAAGAGTGATTGTAAAATGTAGTCTCACGTGACAATACCGCCGATCACAGTAGCTGAACGATTAAACTAAATGTCCAAATGAGCCCGACTGACTGCTTATGTTTTATTTTGTTCAATTGTCTTTTCGTTTTGTTTTAATGCTGGTCCCTGAAGTACACATCATACAGTGAAGAGTTAGACATTCTAGAACACACTGGGGCCAACTGTCCCTCATGACCGGGAACACGACCAAGATTATGCAGGATTGGGTTGTAAATCACACTACCTCTTGTGCCACCAGAGGGAACCCAAGTACCATCAGTGGTACACATACCACAGTTTGACAACCACTGATGTAAATTCCTTGATTTATTCGTTGTTGACTTCTTTCATACGCGTGAACTTCAAATATATTTAATATACTGTATGGTAATTACTGTAAAAAAAAAAGCACAAAAGCCTCAACAAGTCGAGTAATCATTTATTTAGCTTCTTGTCCTTAGGGGGTGCTGTAGTCACAGTTGAACGAGTGTGCTGGTACAAATGTATTTATTTATTTAATAAGTGCAGTCCTGTAACAGAGTCAAAACATTTTACATAAATAATAATAATAATAATAATAATAATAATAATAATAATAATAAATAAACATTTCAATGACAGTAATGTCAGAGGCTATAGCTAATCAAAGCCGGGCAATGCTAAGCTAAGCTAATGCTACGTCCAATCTGAGAGGATCATCACAGGAAGTCCAGAAGTTGACTTGTTTGGGTTCACGTCCGTTACGGAGGCTACTTCTGAACTTCTTTTGGATAAAATGACGGACTGGAAGACCGTGAACCATCGCAGCGAAGCAAATACGACTCTATGATCTCTGCCGTGACACATCTAAGGAAGACGGAAGACCACAGTCGACACAATTTAAGGTAAAAACTAACAGCTTTTAACAGGCAAAAAAAATAAAATAAAAAATGGCGACACACCAAACACAAAGTGCGCCAAACCTTGGTGCGTTTAATATTGTCAGTAAAACATCAGCAGTCATTATAAAAAGAAAAACAAACAAAAAAACACGCTTATCACGTTAATGTATATTAATTAACATTATTTAGTGCTGTAGTCGCCGACCCAATTATGTTAATCACCACATAATTAAAGTGACAGTCAGGTTGTTAACAGCTCCAAGAGAAAACAAACGAATAAAGACATGAAACATGAAGGTAGATAATAATCTTTCAGCGCCACAAAAAAGAAAAAACAACCCAATATCTCCGTGAGTTTCCTCCATTAAGAGTCCGTGCACGACGTCACCTGGACGGTACCAGCAGCTCTCATTACACTCAACTCCTCCCGCTCTCCTCCAGCATCCAAACCGCTAATAATCAAACACAAGCCCGCAATTAAATCTGCCTGGTGACCAATCCCGACCCATATTTTAAAAATGCAAACCAGACCGCCTCCACCAGCACCACCCTCCCCTCGCCTCGCCGACCCTCTGCCTCATTAGTATGCCAGGCCCAGGCTAGGCTTCGTGTGCCGATGATGGCTGCAGCCCCTCAGGCGGAGTTTGAGGCTAGATTTTAATAGGCCGGTGAGGGTCAACGGGAGACGGGAGAACAATAAACCGCTGCAGCTTCCTGTGATAGGCGTT